CACGTTCTTTCCTTCCGTCCATGTGCAAAACTGCTTGGCCTGGGAGTCCGTTGGAAACCAGCGAGGCCCTCCGTCTTCAAATTGCACCCCAACGTGATATTATTCAAATAGTTCTTCCGGCAAGTGCGCCAAGCGCCCGGGCCGCCCTCAAGGCACCGCCTCCAATGCGGCAATGAGCTGTTCAGGCCGCCCTCCCATTGTAGTCTCCCGCCGCTGCGCTGGCGTCTCCACCCTGTAAGGTTGCTGGGGCCCCGCCCCTTGCACAGAGTCCTCGCTTCTTTCCAAGTGGCCGCGGGGCGGCAATTCACGTAGTCACAAAGCGGTCAGGCGCCATCGCCTGACTTGAACGCCCACCGAATCTTCGCCCAATTGAACGTCATCTTCAAGACCTTCACGCACATCGGATCCAACTTGTAATTAACGCAAAGCTCATAAATCTTCCGGTTGGTGCGCCAGTTGCACTCGCGATGCCCCTCCGCTTCACTGGTTCTCTTCATGTTCAGGAAAGCCCTGATACGATTAAACTCCCATCTTCTCAACAAGTGCACGTCATGCTTACAGAGAGCCCAACCACCTGCCCCATAGAGCGCTGCACCCACGGGCACCCGGCACCACGCCCGCAGCCTTTTCCGCCACGGGCACTCTTCTATCCTTCAGCAGCTTGGCAATGGATCCGCAAGCAACGCCCGCCTCGGCAAGGTTGCGATCGACGCCCCCACCAGGGCTGCCCAGTTGATCAACAAGGACCCCTAAGATCACGATCTCGCGCTTGCTCGTCAGAGTCATCATGCCCTCGGGAGTTTGAACAAATATATGTCCATAGTAGTCGTCGCTGGTGCCATGGATGAAGCTAAGTTCTGCCGCCTTCCATTTCTAGCCATTTCTGTATATTACCCCCACAAGCATTTCTGAACGCATTCCCCAGCTCGCGCCCAGACGACGCGAACAAGCACAAGCTATCCGCCCAAATGGCGCGGTTTACAAACCTTTCGTCGAACGCGAAACCCACGTTCGAAGAACTCCAAGAATGCACGACCTCCTCTAAAATATGTTCTAACATGATGTTCCAACACCAAGTTGTCTCAGCGCCCCCCTGTCTGCCACCACCGTCGATCTCGACCCCCTCCGCAGCCGCGACCCCGCTGACATCCACGTCCGCCTTGACGTCGCAGAGCCCCCACGCAAGCGCAACGGCAAACGATTCTGGGACGCCGCGCGCCACCAGAGAGTTGAACATGATAGCGTGTTTCATTGAGTCGAAAGCCGTCTGGATATCAAAAGACCCAACAAACACTCGGGCACCCCATTCGCGAGAGAAGAACAAACCAATTCCGCAATCAGCATAGCCCCCCCTCCCTCCCGGAACCCATGCGTCTGCACAGGCGAAGGCTTCCTGAACTTCTCCGCCGCGAAAACGATCGACTTGAGGTACCATTTTTGGAGCACAGGGGACTTGCATATGTATCTGAACTCGTCGAATCTACTCGGCTTCCGGGTCTTTGGCATACCAGCCAGCCCCCAGATCCCCCAAGCTCCGCTTGCCCCAACTTTCCCATATTCGGCCCTCAGGCGGAAGAGCAACCATAGAACGACAACCATGCAAAATGGGAGGCCCTTCCAGATCTCGCTGACGGCGCCGCCCTTGCCACCAGCTGCGTTCGTTGATAAGGGCGCTCGCGCGAAAAGGACGTCGCGGAGACCAATAGAAGGCACCCCGGCACCAGCCTGTCGTTGAAGATCGACCGCGGCACGAACCTCAACGAGCCGATGCTTCAAATCATCCTGCCCGCCCCCTTGAACAAAGTACCGGTCGCGCATGAAATCCCGGAGCCCTTGCTGTCACGCTGCGCGAACTCTTGTGGGCTCGGCGCCTATTGCCATCACCATCGGCGGCATGAACGTCGCTCGTCTTCTCCTGGATTCCGCCGCCGGTCGCAGGTTACGAATCTTCTCATTCCTCCTCCAAGCGGCCCTCCTCTTCAGAAACTCTCCGCGCGCCTCCCCCCGCGCCTCGCCGACGAGCGCCCAATCTTTCACCTTCGAAGCTGCGATGCCCTCGGACAGTTGTTCGGCAGATCTGAATCGGCCCCTGCGCGCGTCGAACTCCGAGTTCACGACGGCCGCCTTCACCGCCACCTCCACCGACGCCAAGCTCATACTCTTCAGGCTGTTCTCCAAATCGGCATTCGGTATATCCCCCCCAAGGACACGCTTATGGAGCAGATCTTGATGATAGCGATGGCGATCTGATCGTAGTGCCCAGCCCTTCCTACTAGCGCCGCGGCGCTTCTGCTGAAAAACGGGCGCCTGCATCTTTAAAACCCCCGTCACTGGGCAATGGTCACTCTTGAAGTCCGCATCGGCATTCACGGAAATGTCGGAATCAATGTTCTCGGAAACGGCAATGCAATCAACGTGGGTCTTCTGCGCGTTCCGCTTGTTGTGCCACGTGTGCACGACGTCGGGGGCCGCGTTGGGAGACTCAAAAGCGTTCGTTGCCCTGAGGCCGTGTTCAGAAAGGAATCGCACGATAGATTGCAACTGGTCTGGGTGTTTGACGGTCCGCGGTAAAAGCATGCCCCCAGTGATCTGATCCAGCTCCGCCGGCAAGGTGAAGTTAAGATCCACACCAAGAACAATCTTAGATTTTCCCTAAGAAAACCATGCATTTAATTGATGTTCCAAACCCCTCAAAATCTGGTACCACAAATCCTGACTCCCACGACCATGCGGAAAGTGAACAGAGCCACATGCAAGATTACCACTCAGGACACATCGGAAAAGACTCCCCATGGACGGCGTCGTTCACCTCAGTTTGCCAGCTTCTCGGAATAAGGATCGCACAGTCCTTGCCCAGCTCGCTCAAAACCCTGAAATTACCGATGACCGCGTCCTCCCACGACTCTACTTCCTGCATCAACACGAGAAGGTCGGCGTTCAAGGCCGCTAGTTTCTTAACTAGCTTTTTCCTCTTGCGCTTCCAACTCTTTTGGCGCGAATTCCACGATAATATTGCCAGAGTGTCTTTTGCACTCTGCACGAAGGTCCCAGGGCACCCCTACGCCACAGCCGCGGCGAGCTCCCCCTCGGAGAACCCCGAAGCAGCGACTCCCGCTGGATCCCACTCCAAGCTGAGGTCGTCGCGGACCCGCATCAGGTTCTGCTCCTCCGCTTACTCAGAAACCTTGACCTTGAATGTTTTCACCCTCCACTCTGCCGTGATCACCTTCGGGCTCAAGATCTTTTTCTTCAGCTTCGACTAGCTGGCGCCCATCTTATTGAAGACCTTCTGCTCCTCGGGGCTGCGTTCCACGATGAAGTGATGTTATTCGAGGACACGTAGTCAATCCACATGTCCTTCACCTCCCACATGACATCCAGGTTGACCTTCACCTTGAATTTGTACATGGGGTAGCCGCGAACCTCAGGTTTTCCCACCCAAGACTTCTGCTCCTCGTCGAGGGTCCCCCTAAAACCGTTCACACAGTCCCTGATCTTCGGACCCTTCACCCCGGTTGTATTCCTCTCCTCCCAACTGCTGTACCCCTTCACCTCAATGAGATTTGGTACGAATCCCTCTCCTCCTCCAGTATGTCACTTGCCCCTCTGACTCTCCAAAGTCATCTCCAATGCCTTCAAGCGCCTCTCGTGGTCGTCGACCTTCTTGTCAATGACCTTTACGTCTTGCTTGACGGCGGTGATTTCCTTCTGCACCTCCCCAACTTTCGTCAAGATCTCATTCTTCATTTTGTTGTTCGACTTGTTGAAGTCGTCGGCAAGGCGCTTCAAGAGGTCCTCAACACCATGATTTCCTGCCGGCTCACGGGAATGGCTGCGCTTTTCGCACGAGCACTCAGCATGAAGCGAGCCGCAAGAAGAACAACATGCCATGCTCACAACTTTTTTCAGTACACGAAAGTGCGCTGAGATCGAAATAGTGAGTATGAAGTATGTCAGGGCCGCTCACGCCCTCTCGCTTGAGTATACTTGAGCCTTGATCATCATCATCATCATCATCATCATCAGCATCATCATCATCATCATCATCAGCATCAGCATCAGCATCAGCAGCAGCATCAGCATCATCATCACCACCCCCACTACCACCACCATCACGGTAACCATCAGCATCATCAGCATCTGCATCAGCATCAGCATCATCAGCATCATCAGCATCAACATTATCATCAGCATCATCATCGTCGTCACCATCACTATCACAATCAGCATCATCATTATCATCAGCATCAGCATCTGCATCGTCATCGTCATCATCAGCATCATCATCACAATCAGCATCGCCATCATCACCACAATCATGAAAATCACTGTCATCAACATCATCAGCAGCATCATCAGCAGCATCAGCAGCCTCATCACATCGCCGTCGCCATCGCCAAAACCATCCATGATCATGTCCAGAATCACCATCATCGCCACCATGGCCATGATCAGCATCAGCACCATCCTCATGACCGGTCACCATCCGTCACCACCCTCCACCACCCTTCATCACGACTCAGCATCAGTAATTCGCCGGCCCAACGGGCCAGGGCGTGCTAAGATCTCCGGTAACTGGTTAACAGTATTAACAGTATTTCTAGTTCGCGCGCGCGGGGCGGCCCCTGGGGGTCCCCCGGCGAAAAGTACCCCGACCAACGCCCGGTCGCCGCCCGACCGCCGCCCGACCAAGTCTACTCAGAGATGGTTTTCCTTCTGGGTGCGGCCTCTCAGGCTCCCCAGAGCGCGCTCAGAGTGCCCCAAGAGGCCCCCAAGACTGCCCAAGAGGCCCCCGAGACGCCCAAAGAGCGCTCGAAGACGCCGAAGATGACCCCAAGACGGCCCAAAAGGCCCCCAAGACAGCCCAAGAGGCCTCCAAGACGCCCCAAGAGCCTTCCAAGAGGCCTCCGAAGAGAGCCCCAAGAGGCCAAAATCGTTGATTTTCATTGGTTTTTTCGATGTTTTTTGTGTTCTGGCTTTTTCGGCTTCCGGACGCTCCAAGACGGCCCAAGAGGCCCCCAAGACCGCTCCAAGACGGCCCACGAAGCTCCCAAGACGGCGCCGAAACGACCCAAGAGAGCCCTCAAGACGGCCCAAGTGCCGCCCAAGACGGACCAAGAGGCCCCAAGACGGGCCCAAGAGGGACTCAGGAGGGATACCGAGAACTCAAAAATGGAGCCCTCCGTCCCAGAAGGCGCCCAGGAGGTCCCAAAGAGGCCCCAAGAGGCCTCCAAGAGGCCCCAAGATGTCGCCAAGAGGCCCCAGGAGACTCCCAGGAGGCCCAAAAGAAGCCCCAGAAGGCTTCAAACATGTCTCCCAGGCGCCCCCGAACGGCCTCTCAACAGACCCCAAGAGGCCCCCCAAAGAAGCATCTTGACGACGACTCTATTTCGCCCCATCGAGAGACGACCCCCAGGGAACTGCTTCACCATCAAAACTCCCCACGCAACGCGTCCGAACGACACCCGCCCCCCAAGAGCGCAACATGGGCAACGAACACACAGACAAAAACCAGCGATGCCATATCACGGGCCGGCGGAATGAGCGAAGCGATTCAATAATCATTCATGCAAACCTCACTCGTCGTTCATCCTCAGCATCATCAGAATCATCATCCTCATCATAATCATCATCGACGGCAGCAGCAGGATCATCATCACATTCCTGAACAACAACAGCAACAACAACAACAGCATCAACAACATCATCATCGATAACAGCAGCAATAACAACAACATCAACAACATCAACACCAACAACAATTATTACAACTATAATCACCACCACAACAACAACCACAACAACAACAATCACAACAACAACAACAACAACAACGACAACGACAACGACAACGACAACAACAACAACAACAACAACAACAACAACAACAACGACAACAACAACGACAACGACAACGACAACGACGACGACGACGACGACGACGACCACAACCACCACCACCACCACCACCACAACAACGCGATAATCCTCGGCATAACCTGAAGAGGCCCTCAGACACACAAATAAATAGACACAACTAACCAGGTTCACCATATTGTTCGGTATTTTCTGGGTTTGTGTGTTCCCCCCACTTCCCATACTTTCCCATATTTTCTGGTGAATCGACTATTAATTGTAACTGTGTTTGTTTCCCTCCTGACAACCGTCATCCTCATCATCCTTGTCACCCGTCCTCATCGTCAGCCGGGGTGCACTTCATCCCAGGCTTCCCGGGGCGCTCGGCCAGACTGGCCGTGGCTCGGGGGAGCCCACCGGCTGAGCGCCCAGGGCTGTACCTAAGCGCTCTTTTTCGTTTGGGTTTCGTTTTGTTGTTCGTTTCGCTGTTGTTTTTCGTTGTGGTGTCGTTTTGGTTTCGTTTTTGTTTCGTGTTGTCGTTCGTTTTGTTCGTTGTTCGTTTCAGCGTCGTTATGGTGTTCGTTATGTTTCGTTTTGGCTTCGCTCTGTTGTTCGCTGTGGCTTCGCTTTGGCTTCGTGCTGTTGGACCGAAGCGCTGTTTTCCTGCACCTCCCTCCCAAAACGACAAGCAAAGCACAGCCAAAGTGCTGCCTGCAAAAAGCAGCGCTCAGGTCCGGCCCTGGCCGCGCCCACCGAGAGCGCGTTCGGGAGCAGGGGCGCGGGCAGCCCGCCGCCGCCCGGCGGGCGCCGCGCCGATATGAGACGCCCTCCACAGGCTAGGGTGGTGCGGCCAGGCCGCGGGAGGGGATACCCAGGAGGCGTCTATACACCACCACCGTGCCAAGCCAGGGTCATTCTGGCCCTGGCACGGTGTATACGCCCTCCTGGCCGAGGCCAGGAGGGCGTATACACCATCCTAGGGCCCAGGATGGCCCTGGCCTGGCACGGTGGTGGTGTATAGACGCCTTCGTCGGAGGGGAAGAGGGTTGGGTCGGGCATGTCCTCGGACAGGCGGATTCTGGACGAAACAGATCAGAAGTCGAAAGGTCGTCCCCCCTGACTATGTTCGACTATCTTTGAATACTCCTCCTGTGGAGGGGCATGCCCGACTCAAGAATAGGGGGCGGCTGGGGGATTCCCTTGATTCCCCTAGGCAACGAAGCGGCGGCACGTCAGATCCAAGACCCGGTACTGGGCCACCTAGCCTCTGTGGGCGTGTGCGCGTGATTGCCTGCGCGTGCAGTGTCCCAGCAGGAGGGGACTGCCCAGACGAATAGAAGGAAAAGCGCCCAAGCATCAGCTTTCGGAGAAGCGCGCGAAGCTCATTGATCGGCGCTGGAGCCCCTCCCTGGCGCGCCGAGCGTCCATCGCAGATCCAAGAAATCTGCGCGAACCCTCGAAAGAGAGAGTCTCCTCTTGTTCGGACTAGTGGGCCACCGCCTCAGGAGGCGCTGCCCCTGACCGCCCCGCAGGATTGGGCGAGCCGCAAGCCTCCCCTCAACCTGGGGCGAACATCCTGGATTGACGAGCGCGTTCCACTACTCGCAAAGTAACTACTCGCAAATGGACTGGATCCGCCGCGGG